ATATTAAACAGAGATTGTTCGTTCGTAATTAGTAGTCTACAAAAGTATGCAATAATACTTTACAATAAAAGGATAGCCTTAAATTTGAATATTCGAAGAAACTTACGAAGTACTGATTCAATGTTAGCTCCATTCAATGGAATGACAAGACATCTTGTTACTGAGAGCGAACATATCTGAAGCATATTCATAATTTGAAAACTGAAGAAACTAATGTTTAAGAAATAGCAAAAACGGTTAAATAAATAAGAATTTCGCTAGTCTAAATTGATTCAGATCTTTGCCGAGTATAAAATCTTACTAGAGCAGTGCATAAGAAACAAACAATATTCTTTATCTTTTAAATCTTTTTTCATAGAAATAGACTAAATACTTTGTTATGCGAGACGAGTAAAGCAAACCATGATTTGCCACCTTTTTTTTAAAAAAATAAATCTTCGTAAGCTTGCTTTAGAAGGCTTCCTTTTGAATTAGTCACATTCATTATAATTTAATTGCACTGTTTAATAAAAAGTCACCATTAGAAATAGTGATAAAAAAATTCGTGAAGTAGTTTGATTCATATCCAGGATTGTTTTGCATGAGTGCATATTTTCACCCACGACAAAACCCACGTCACAAGAGTCGACCGATCCACGCACTGTTTCCTAAAAATAAAATTTCTATCATTTCAAAGTAAAATTAGAGATAAAAGTTATGCAGAGCATTATGTGAAAATTATAAATGTTTTTCCCACAAAGTCCAGCATTCATCTCAACATTAAGCGTTTGTTGGCGCTACTATAATTATTTACCTCAGTTGAAACCACTGACAACCATATTTTAATCAAATTTTTATAAAATGTAATCAATAAAACGGTCATTTTCTTCATGAATGAGTTATCGAAATTTACTTAAATTTAACAATTCTTTTAATCAAACTATCAACAGAGTTGCTAGAGCAATAAATCCTAAATTCTTTTTTAACTTTGGTCTCTCAGTCTGACTTTTCTACTTTTCAAAATTCCAAACAAAAAAAAGAAAGACTTGATTCATAACATATATTAAAGTCCAATACTAATATTGCATATTAAAGTACTGCATATTATATATATTTTGAAGTATATTAAAATTATATATGGTATATAAAATTATATATATTGTGTATTATATTATATTATATATTTCTACCGTATACTAAAAGTTGATCTATCTCACTGTGCAGTGCGAAAAACAGCCGTCAGAAGGGATAACCAGAATTTCTTGAATGTAACAGAAACCGGAGGTCACCCACTAAATAACCGGAATTACCTGAATGGAACAGAAACTGGAGGTTACCCACTAAATAACCGGAACTACCTAAATGTAACAGAAACTGCAGATTATCCCCAAACAACCGTAACTACCTGAATAGAACAGAACCGGAAATCATCCGCTACGTCACCAAATATATAGTGGTATGGTCTTTGAAGAGGATTTGAGCCATTATGAAATTTGTTATTTCACTTTTACAATTGAACAATTGTCCGAGAAATGCCGAAATGATTGATTCAGTGCTACAATTGAGATACGATTGTAAAACTGAAAATTGAAGAAAAAGTGGGCGAGATGGAGGTTAAATTTAAATTAAATTAAAATAATAATAATAAATAGAAATGACTAATTAGTAATAAATATATTCATTTTATATTAAGAATTTCAAAAACAAACAATTTAATATGAAAGAAAAAAAGAAACATTGGAATAAAAGAATTTTCTCTTTTTCTTTCCTTTTCTCTTCTCTTTTCTTCTCCGTTATTAATATAAAAAATGTTATTTTGTTACAATCATACATTCATCATTTTAATAAGTAATAACAAAATGTTATTCATTCATTCATTCATTCATTCATTCATTCATTCATTCCATTCATTCATTCCATTCATTCATTCATTCATTCATTCATTCATTCATTCATTCATTCATTCATTCATTCATTCATTCATTCATTCATTCATTCATTCATTCATTCATTCATTCATTCATTCATTCATTCATTCATTCATTCATTCATTCATTCATTCATTCATTCATTCATTCATTCATTCATTCATTCATTCATTCATTCATTCATTCATTCATTCATTCATTCATTCATTCATTCATTCATTCATTCATTCATTCATTCATTCATTCATTCATTCATTCATTCATTCATTCATTCATTCATTCATTCATTCATTCATTCATTCATTCATTCATTCATTCATTCATTCATTCATTCATTCATTCATTCATTCATTCATTCATTCATTCATTCATTCATTCATTCATTCATTCATTCATTCATTCATTCATTCATTCATTCATTCATTCATTCATTCATTCATTCATTCATTCATTCATTCATTCATTCATTCATTCATTCATTCATTCATTCATTCATTCATTCATTCATTCATTCATTCATTCATTCATTCATTCATTCATTCATTCATTCATTCATTCATTCATTCATTCATTCATTCATTCATTCATTCATTCATTCATTCATTCATTCATTCATTCATTCATTCATTCATTCATTCATTCATTCATTCATTCATTCATTCATTCATTCATTCCATTCATTCCATTCATTCCATTCACTCATTCATTCATTCATTCATTCATTCATTCATTCATTCATTCATTCCATTCATTCATTCCATTCATTCATTCCATTCATTCATTCCATTCATTCATTCCATTCATTCATTCATTCATTCCATTCATTCATTCATTCATTCATTCCATTCATTCATTCCATTCATTCATTCCATTCATTCATTCCATTCATTCATTCATTCATTCATTCCATTCATTCATTCATTCATTCATTCATTCATTCATTCATTCATTCATTCATTCATTCATTCATTCATTCATTCATTCATTCATTCATTCATTCATTCATTCATTCATTCATTCATTCATTCATTCATTCATTCATTCATTCATTCATTCATTCATTCATTCATTCATTCATTCATTCATTCATTCATTCATTCATTCATTCATTCATTCATTCATTCATTCATTCATTCATTCATTCATTCATTCATTCATTCATTCATTCATTCATTCATTCATTCATTTCATTCATTCATTCATTCATTCATTCATTCATTCATTCATTCATTCATTCATTCCATTCATTCCATTCATTCCATTCACTCATTCATTCATTCATTCATTCATTCATTCATTCATTCCATTCATTCCATTCATTCCATTCACTCATTCATTCATTCATTCATTCATTCATTCATTTATTTAAATTTTTTTAAATTAATTCTTCAAAATTTATGCTTATGATAATATATGGTATCCGTAGTTTAGTAACCTAATAAGTATATGTCACTTATCTCATCGAAGATTTGAGCAATTTTAGAAGACATTACCGCTTCACATTGGAAATATCTATGTTGGAGATCGAATATACTTCATCGTTTTGTTTAAATTTACTTTCTTTTACTCATTTAATACTCAGATTATTCATGAAAAGTTGAAAGTAATACTTTGTTTATCACTAATAAATTTAATTATATGGAACAAATGTGACTTAAAACAAATATTGCTAAAAAAAAAGTTTGTAATTTCAAACTTTTCGGTTTATTTTTCTCTATTTAATTGCTCATTTAATGATCTTTTTTTTTTTTTTTGAAATATTCAAAAAAAAAAAAATATTTGAAAATATTTCAGATAGATTATTAATAGCTTTTGTGATTATAGTGATTCAAAATTGTAATAATAGAACAACTGTTAAGGTCATACTTTAGTTTTTAATCCTAAATGTAATAAACGGAAGGAAATATGCAAAAAAAAAAAAACAAAAAAACAAAGCGAAATGATTGTGGTTGAATTGATGATAAATTTCTCTGTTTGCACACTGCTAAAAATTTATCTCAATAAATTGTGCGAATTTTCTAGAAATTTACAAATTTCAATTTAAATGCTATAACTTTGTTCATTTGAGCAGCTGTGAATTTCATCATTAATATATCGCTAAATGAGATAATTTTTCAATTTAACCAATCAAAATTTCAATTAAGACCAACTTGTTTAGCGTAAATTTCATTTTTAATTTAAATTTATTTCTTTTAAAATTTAGCTTTTGTAAATTTTGCTTTTCTGTAAATGAATAAATTTGCCTGTCACTATAGAGAATGGATTACAAACTTCGTCTCGGAACATTACATTTAAATCTTTTGAAATTTAAATTTAAATGCAATTTATTCTATTTGTTCAATCAAATGAAAATTTTTGTATTTTTTTTTTTTGGTTTTATTTTCAGTTATTCAAATTCTAAAACTTTTATTTTCTGTTATTTAAATTTCTAGTTTTCTCGAATGAACAATTCATGAAATACACTTTTCTTATTTCAGAAAAGAACATTTAAAAGATGAATGGACTGTCATACAGTAAACAAAAATGAGTAAATAAATAAGATATGATAATGTGATAAGATCAATTCTTCAAATACACACTATCAGAAAACAGCAAACAAATAACAGGAAAAATCACATTAATAATTATAATCTTTTGTTTGATAACAAAAAAACTATGAGCATTCAAAATGTCACAAAATATAATCATTAATTGGTTATATTTGTTTACTTTATTCAATCAAATAAGCGTCAATAATTTAAATTTTGAATGTGATTAATGAAATTAAACAAAGGCTGTACAACATTAATAAAAATACAACTAAAAAGAGATTTCCAAGTTAAATTAATTGAAATTTATACAGCATCTCCCATAGAATTTGATTACAATTTGCAGTAAAAATTCATCTCTGCAAATCTAAATTTTATTTTTAGCATAATAACATTCAAAAATTGAAAAGCTGTCAATCTTACAATGCATTATTAGACTTTAGCACATTTTTACTTTATTAAATTTAAATAATTTGTTAATTATTAAATAAATCAAAATCATTGAAAAAAAAAAGAAAGAATGCATAAAATTCTTTAAAATTAAAAAATTAACGAAATATTTTTGCTATAAACATCGATAAATAAATGCATATAAATGATTTAACCATGCTTCTACACGAATTCGTCGATAACCTCGTTCACATTTACAGAATAGAAATGTCTGAACTATAGTTGTTAGAGCTTCACCGGATTCATGAATCCGTCCGATAACACGGATTAAACTTCGTGTTCCGTGACAGGAATGTCTAAATATATTATCCACTCGATCACAAAATATCAACGTAATCATTTCATCCAGTTTAATAATATTTTCTTCTTCTAAACGGCATATTGTATCATTTGAACATTCACAAATTCTTTCACCGGTTATATTAGCCGTTTTTGAAAAATTGAATACATGTGTGGGTGTAAAAAATTCATCATATAGTGGAAAATCATTCATATTTGATTCGAAATTCGTTCCGGATGTTTCATCTAGTCTTAACAACGGATAAGAATGAAGTTGCGCACCGCAAGCCATTTCAGGTTCAGTGCAAGTACCAATAGCAAAAATAGTTTTTGCATAAAACAGTAGTAAAAGAATGACAATTAATTGAATTAATAGGCGTAATTGACGGAAGCGTAATGATTCAACAACTGGTAGTAATTGAAATATGCCAGCTAAACTGTTGATGATAATTAAGACTTGCCGCAACATAGCAATAAAAAACAACTGTTCCGCACTGGATGCTATTTTTGCTGGTGGTGATGACTAACGGAATGAAAACGATGATTTTAAAACTTGAACAAGTGGTTGTTGCAACAGCAATATAATAGTAGCAATAGGAATAAGAGTGAGTAAGGCGGTACGGTAATCCGGCAGGAAGCGTTTGAAGATTTATGGATAGATTAGATAGATAGATAGATAGGTAGCTCACATTGAGTGGAAAATGTGAAACAAATGAATTAATAATTTTTTGTTCAGTTCAATTTAGTGATCTAATATTGATATCTCCTTCCCTTCATTTTTTTTTTTTTTTTAGCTCATCAAATAAATTGCTTTCCTGATTTATCTCATAGGGCAATAAATTTGATCACTAAAAATTTACAAATACCACAAGTTGTACATCATTTATTTGACGTAAGTAATAGCTCAGTCTACATCTCTTATTCTTTTCTTCTGTTGGATTCAATTACGAATTAACTTTTTTATTTCACCTGTTATTTTATTTTATTAAGGTATATTTAAATGCGCATATGCGCAAATGAACACCATGATTTTAAGTTGTGGACTTAATCTAAACCTTTCGTTACTATCATATCCTCAAATCATTGGATGAGCTAATTATATTCATTATTTTGCAATGTTATCGAGAAACCGAAAACTACCCAAACATCATATTCAAACATACGTGTAAGACGTTACATACACACGTATGTTTAATTACAAAGACTGAACTGCTTTTATTGGACTGCTTATGTATTGAGAAATAATATCTTCATTCAATAAAAGTAGAAAGGATCTATCAATGTACAGTGCGGAAACCAAACAATCCGTAATTCCGCCACAAACAGAAGGAAAAAGCAACAAAACATTCAGTATGAGTGGAGGAGAAAGGGAAGGAAGAAAAAATAATCGAAAGATTGACTTCTCCTTTCACAAAGCATATACGCGTCAAATTTCCAAACTTCAGGCGTGTAAATATCGAAGCCAACGTTTCTCAAATCTAAAAAAATCTATAATTCAGACCTGAATCTCCTTCCGTTCACCCAAACTCTGTTAATTTACTAGATAGTTACCAAATTACAAAGCAAATCAAAACAGAAACTCATAGGTGCACCGAGATATGAAGGCCATCTGGCCATCGCAAAATATTCACTGGAAATAAACTGAAAATTTGACATCTAAAAATCCCTGATATTTGGTAGGTTAAAGATTTGTAACACAATGAATAAAGAATTTCTTAAAATTACCCTCGAGGCGCTTCTATCGCTGTGCACAAAACAACACCCGGAGAAATCGGAGAAAGATCAAAAACCGGGTTTGATTTGGACTATAAAAAAACTTAAGTTTCAGAATTTAAAACTTTGGAAACATTAATCCAAAAATGCACAGATAGACCACATACAATTAGTGAAACTTTACCTAACATAAATGAAAGTAAGTAAAACGGACCAAAACAAAAGTATTACAATTGAAAGATTATTCATTATCCTATTATACAATTAATGAACCCATAAGGTTAAATCATTGAACTGACGCACTAGCACTGCATCTTCTCCTCAGAAGTATAAAAACTGAAGATTCAGTAAAATTTGGAACTTAACAAATTAATTTGTTTCTTGAAATGCAACGATGGAATAAAGACTATAAAGGTTTCTTTAGAGGTGCCATCCCTACTATAAAAACAAAAGTGCCACACCAAACACAAAGAATTATTATCACTCTTAAATTTCAAAAGTCTACCAAAAATTTCCCAAATCTTAATAGAACAAATAAGCGAGGTTAATTATTTGCATCTTAAGCGTCAAGTTAAGTGAAATTTTCAAGGTTCCCTTTAGCAAATATTCATGACTTTTCCTCAATCACAAAAAGTACACAACAGAAAGACTTGAAATACAAAAATCTTTCTAAAAAAAAAATAAATTCGATTAAAAACCATAGAATATAATGCAATAGAAAGAAAAAAAAAATTATTATACCGACATAGGAATCGCAATGTTTACCCTCAGTTCATAAATGCATCATGATAAATTCCTAGGGATGGGGAAGAGAGAGAAAAAACAAAAAGAGGACAACATTGCTATGAAGTGAATTTCTAGTCGTTCCACCCATAATACTTAAGCTGTGAACCTCCAGAAATCATGTTCCACTCCTTCTGCACAATGTTTTAGTAGTGTCGTACGTCTCTGTTCCACGTAACGATACTTATCTTGCACCTAAAAGAATGGACCATAAAATTAAAAATAGGCCATCTATCAAGTTGCAAAATTATCACTGGATCGCATTTAATGATAGTAATACGACTCTATATTCTTATAGAGTCACACATTTTTTTGTCACACCCACACATTTTCTGAATCAGAGAGTCAAGTGCGTCTTTAAGAAATTCACCTTGACAGCTGCTGACAGCTCGAATTACTTCCTGCCTGTTTTCAACTATTTCACAGTTACTGCTTTTGAGGAACAGTGGACCTACAAACAAGATAATACCTTTTGTTTTAGACTAACGAGATTTTCATGATCTAGATCTCTTTCTAAAAACTCCGACAGTTGTTCGGTGGCATGCTCCAGATCACGCTGATTCTCTTCAAATATAACCGACTGGTTATCTTTTTGTAAGTAAAACGCAAATGCATATGTGTACATCAGCGTACGGCGACATTCCGAAAGGACATCGACCGCTTTACGTAAAAACTGCACCTCGATCCAGGACATATTTGCCTGCTGCATAACTTCCATTTTGGATTTTACAATTGAATAGAGCTGAAATAGGCGAATTATAAATCCAAAAAATTAATTAGAAGACTTACATGAGTATAGTGAATCTTCGGAAATTAGCTATAATTAAAAAAAGGAATAACACTTTTGCTCCTTTATTTTTATCAAAAGCAACATATGGATTAACCTGGTATCTATCTTTCATAGTATCTTTCGAAAACAATTAAATGTTGTTCATATCTATCCGAAACTTCGTGCTTTTAATTGTAAATAACATTTTAACATTTTCTACACACTCACTTTATGTTCCAGTTTTAAACTTTGTTGATGATTCATGTATCGATTGTAATAGTGCAAGTATCTTTGAAGTGCAGCGCGACTTCGTTCTTGTGCATCACGTGCTTGTTTTGCCAATGTATCATCATATCTGTTACAGGAATACCATGAACTGCCATGCGGTTCCCACGGGCCAAGACACATCCAACAAAATTCCATTTTACAAGCTACATTCTTACATGTCATATGGTTACATCCACCATCCTTTTCTATTGTCACCTATAAAAAAAAAAATTCTTTGTTTAAAAAGCTAAGCTTTTTATCCATGCTCCAATAATATTCTAGAATATAGATTTAAATTTAAGTTGGAAGTGAAGAAAACGCAGAGACCAACAGGCCTTACAATCTTAAAATAACGATTCGTACTTCACATTTCCTGAATTTTTCAAATGTCGAAAATGTTGTATATTCCTTCAGAAGCTATATACTTTCGACAGTTCATACAAAGTTATGGATTTATAACTAATGGTAGCACTTATCCCAGTCACTGAGACATCTCATCAGAAAAACTGGTCAGATCAAAATGAAAAAAAAAAAAAAATCATCTGAACTTAAAGTAAATGTTTAAACTGCTGAACAAAATAATTTACCTGGCATTTGGGGCATTCTTTGGTATTCGCTGATATCCAATTGCTTGTCTCACTATCATCATTACACTTTTTAATCCATAACTTCAGAAGTCTACAATTAACAGGTTCGTGCCATTCGTGTCCACATGCGAAACAAAAAACTGTACCACAAGTACATTTGACGGGACGCGCTTCCAAATGTCCTACTTCAATAACACGTCCACAATCAGCAGCTGGGCACCACCGCAACAAACGATTACACTGAAAATGAATAAATAAGAGAAATCAATTCAAATAATCTTCCCTCTAGAAATCAGCAAACCTTTCCCAAAAACTTCACTAAAACATCTCCCTGTAATGTAAGTGTAGCAAAAGCTTCGACGATGAAGCATCTGGAAAAAAAAAAGATGCTATAAATCATACAAATATTGTTCTGCATGCAAACTAATATTCAGATAAGATTTAGATAAGCACATTGAACAAATGGCTATGAAATCTTAATGACTTATAAAATACCTCGACGAAACTATTGATTATGAGACGACGATATCTTTTCTTTGCATTTTCGCTTTTCACCAAAGCCAAAGTTTTCTCGTCATCAACTATGATTGGACAATTATGTTGGGGACAAGCTACATGTGCTCGACCTTCCTCCATAATCTGAATTTAAATGACAAATCTCATCTTTTTTTCATGTTTTTTAAAAGATAAATGAAAGCTTAAGTTGAGGACAATTTTCAACTAAAATTTTGAATTCTTCATAACAATGTTACACATGTCCGGTTCTCACTCACCTACCTTAGTTGTTAAATAAGAATCCCAGCATGGATAACAGAAACGATGACTGCACTGCAAGCCTGTTAAAATGGTACGATTACAGCAGATGACACAAGTATCAACAACATCTGCAAGTCCTTCATCACCACGGCGTGCCACTTTAAATGGTGAAATGATGTTAGCATCCAAGAAAAAGGAATCCATATCAGTGCTCTCATAAAACCTTCAATGTTTTAGAGACCTTAGAAGAATGAAAAGGACAGTAAAATTGAAATTTTGTTCAAATATGAAACATAAAACTTTGACAAAAATCGTGGTAAGAAAGTAGAGTTACAAATTTTTAACGAAAAAAATTCTAAAGCAATTCGCAGAATTGTCGCATACCTTTCTAGTAAACTTTCTTTATTCCACTTATAATGATGTAAAAGCAATCTACAGATAGTAGCCGATAAACGCAGCACCGATGCAACATCCTCTATGATTTTATTCATTTCAAAAGTTACTTTTTCAGCGTCCAGAACCTGCAAGAACTTTTTTCAGTAAATTATTCAGAAATATACAACTGATAACGCTTCAGATTTTTTTTTATGCGTG